GCCAATTTGAAGTGATTGTATGGCATTTAAAGGAATGGGTGAAGCAATTTTATGAGATTTTTATCTTATTTATAATTTTTTATATTTTCCAAATTTTGTATGACATTACTTTGAAATAAATGTTTACAGCAAAGTTATACATGCCTATCATTTAATAGTTGTACCAGAACTGTTGCAAGAAACAGTAGTCTCCCAATACTGCAGTCCCATAATTCCAGAGGCAACAAGTTTTAACTCTTTAACTGATCGTTTCGGTATTTACCTTGTAAATAATTTTGGGGAATGGGGAAGAAAACTAGAAGGAGTTTTATCGTGCAGATTGCCTCTTTTTTCAATGGTGGGATAGGGAGGGCCCAAGTGACAGATTACCTTATTGATGTTGACCAGAAACCCAGACTGATTGATTAAGTTTATGTATCTGGGAGAAATTAAAACTATAATTAGATCAGATATTAAATCTAAGTTTGGTATTATGGGCTTTTAGCACGAGTGATGCCACTTTGGTCCTGTGGTTTTCTCTTTAACAATTTCGAGATCTCCAAATATTTTTGATTTTGTAGTTTCAGATCCTATCTATGGACTTCCCTTTATAATAGGTGAGGATTTATCTCTTTGATACAGGCACAACTCCTATTTCAACTATGGCCATTCTCTCAATATAGTTACATTGTCATTTTGGCTAAATCAATTAGGTATTTACATTATTATGACTACATAAATCCTGTTGACCACCAAGCATATTGGTTATTTTATGTGTTATTGGTATACAGAAAAATAATTGTCTTTGTTTTACAATTTGAAGGAAAAAAATAATTTACGCTGACCACTTTGGAAATGTAGGTACATCATCTGTGTACTCAAGACTAGGAATGTAAGAGAGCTTTTTGGCTAACCATCATTTTGGCACATTGCTGGCACTCAATAAGTTGTTGTAGAATGAATGATTGAACAATGACCCTCATGTGACAAGTTCATTCTGTTCAAAACTCTGATTATTTGACTGAGGTACACTATTTGAACAAGCCATTTGAAGTCATTGAAATAGTCTTTACTGACTGATATTATCACTGTGTGGAAGACTTTTTTGTAATCACATTCCTCATTTCCTAAACCCATGTGGACACCCTTCCTCTCACCAGGGAGCATACTTCAGTATGGAAAAGCAGGCTTCTAGTTTTTTATTTACTGCTCATTTCTTTGTACACAGTGCTGAAAAGTACATGATTTAATTACATACAGAGCATCTGCTTTTCCTGCAATGCACAAAATAAGATAGATTGGTTGTTTCCCGTGGGTTATTTTCTGGAAATACATCAGGATGTGGATTAGTGTGAAGTTGAACTTGCTCCCGGTCCACCTCTCACTTTGCCAGGCTACATTGTGGCTCATCAAATAACTACTAGTGAACAAAGCATCTCTCCTCCTATAGCATAACTTCTCAGTTATAATCTGAACAAGCTGTCATCTAATCCTTCATCATAAATGTGAAGCATATTTGTTAAGCATTGAGTCATACTTGACACTTCAGTGGTTTCACCTCACTAATGCAAAATAACAATTTGGTGTGTGATATTATTTTTTGCCAGTAGCAAATCTGCTTTTTCTTTGAGCTTACTTAATATATATCATCAATTCTGAGATTGCTTTTACAAGCTACCAGAAGTAATGTGATTCATGCATGTGTTGGTCTCAAGAAGGGTGACTTTGAATCATGCTTCTTTAGGTCAGTTTCTTCTCTATTTTTAGGTATAAGATTAACAATTTACATAATGCAAAGCATTATTTTATGCTAGTTTTGAACAAACACAATAAATTTACCAGAAAGTTCACTCTGTTATATTTGAAAATGATAGAGGTTTCGATGTCTTGGTCCCACTATTTAACAAAGTTACGTAACAGACTATGCCTTGGGGGTGGTTTAAACAGATCACAGGTCCAATAAAATTCAGTTTTTAGATATTGTTTATTATACTTCCAATTCAAACTTTTCTTTTTCAAAACTTGTCAGAAATCATCACTAGCAGATTCACTTATACTAGCATTTACAGACTCATAGTGAAATTAACTGAAGCCTGTTGGTTTTATTTATGGCATTATTTTAAGTTGGAGCTTGTATATCACTCTTTTCATCATTACATGTCAATGAACCACTAGTGAGTCATTGACCCATTTATGTGAGTTGTGGATTCAACATAACAACACTATAGTAACCATGAAAAAAATGCAAATTTTCTTTAGCTGGGAAATAATACGAGATAATATTAGCCAAGCCCAAGAACACTGTTAACATTAACAGCTGAAGTCAGAGCTCTGAGGCCAGAGCTGGAGGTAGGGCGTACACTGGTTGGTGGAAGAATGAGCACTTTATGAGCACATTAAAGGAACCTAGACCCTTGGCTACCTGCTCCTTGTGTTAAGGTCTAGCTCTTCTCACTGCTACATCTAATAGCCTTTTCTCACAATGTTAACAATTGTCAAGTCAACATGTACCTTAATCATTACTGAAAAATTGACCTTTTTGCAGGATCTGCTCAGGGTTCTTCCCTGCTCATCACTTCTCCATCTCCCAGCTACATTAAAAAGGCAATGTTCATTAAGAAAATAACAGGATCCCTGTGAGAAGATAATTAATCTCGTGTTTCAAATTTGACCAAAGTGAATGAACGAAATTGTTTGGTTGCCTTTTCAGCTGAAGCCACCACACCATGCACAGACATACTGTCCATACCTGATCTCCAGGGATCTTTAGTGGTCTACAATATGTACTTTAGAGGTATCACACTACAGTGTTTTAGGTTTTACTTTTCTCATTTTTCTTTTCTTCTTTTTCCCCCTAAGTTAAGGTAGACAATACAGATCATAAAAAGATATTTGGGGAGACTATTGAGAAGATTTAAGAAGGTTCTTTTTGAGGGAAAGGAGGAAGTTAGTGGACAGCATGTCATGGGATTATGGAACTGAGCTGCAGAAGGAAAGCTTAAAAGGACATTCATGCCCTCTATCTATTTCCCAATCACAAGTGGTAGCAGGACCTCAGAGTTAACTCAGTTCCATCTCTTCATTTTACAGATGAAGAACCTGAGTTTCAGTAGATTTTTTTAGTCATATGATAAATGTGGTAGATTGTTACATTAATGGTCCCCAATGAATCACATCTTCTAGTATCCAGACCTTCGTAATAGTCTCTTCCCATATTTACTTGGGGTTTGATCATGTGCCTTGCTTTGGCCAATTGGATATTAGCAAATGAGACATAACAAAAGCTTGATAAGCCCTCATGCATTGGGGCTTGCTTTCTTGGAACTCTGATACCCCTGTGCTGAATCACTATGATGTGAAGAAGCCTGGATGAAAGGCCACATGGAGATGAGTTCAGGGGCTCCAGTCCACAGCCCCCATTAAGGGCTTGACATGTAAATGAGGCCATCTTGGACACTGCAACTCCAGTTGACTCTTCAGTTGACTGTGGCAGCATAACTAATGCAGGCGACACCAACAGAAGAACGGTTTAGCCAACCCATTGAATCAGGAGAAATCATAAATCATTGTTGTTTTAATCCACTAAGATTTGGGTGATTTGCTTCCCAACAATAGATAACTGATACAGTGAGTTACTTGCATAGTGACGACAAGTTACTTCAGAAAGCATAAACTTTGAATTCAGGCAAACCTGGGTTCCACTGTAACTTATTAATTTACTTAGCTATATGACTTTGAGTAATTTTTTGAGCCTCAATTTTTTTTCCATAAATTATAACTACCTCATGTCATTGTCACAAGGATCAAAAGAGTCTGCCAACTTACATGTATAGCGGAGGAAAAATACTCGAGTAACTCAAAGGGGTAGTTAGAACATGAGTTTATATAACATCTTAACAAAGAACAATAAATTTGTAGGGAAGTGAGAAGAACAAAATTTTAAACTTTCAAGAGCAGCAAACTGTGGGCAGGTAAATATATGGGGAAAACTAATGGAAGATAAAGGTTGTCTCAGGTTAGTTATACAGATTCCTCTTGGGGCAGTGTCTGGACTGATAAGTGTCTCCCTCTCAGGTGATTAAGAGTCTGAGCCTACTTTTAGGCAAATGGAGGGGAAAGCAGAGAGCTATTTTTGGCATCTGCTGTTTCCCAACTGTCTTCAGCTCAAAATGGTCATAATCCTTATGCCAAAGTGGCACATTTGGGGGTGGGGGAAATTCTGATCCACTACACATATGCTTAGAACAGTGCCTAGAACATAGTAAGTATCCAATTCATATCTGTGAATATTAGCATTAGAGTATTAGTATTAGTAATCACCATTGTAAGGTGCATGGTACATAAATAATATTCAATGAATACATGGCGGCTATCATCACTTCTCTTCTGAACATATATGGTACTCTTTCTGTTTCTTTCTCTCCTGCAGCTGTTATAATTATGGTGCCATTATTTGTGTCCATCTTCTCCTTGATAGATGATATACTTCTTCAGGGCAAGGTGTGTCTCACTCATATTTATGTTTCCCATTGTGTAGGTATTCCATATTAATGTGTTACATGTTTGTAAAATAGGCCACTGATCATAACATTACAGTTTCTGTGGTGAAAAACTATTACACTGTGAGCAAATATTATCTTAAATAGCAGCCTTCCCTACAACAGATAATACAATAGGTTCTGACCTTCCTTCAATGCAATACAAAATACTGTACTTAGTTAAGTAGAGGTCCACTGAAACAAATCGCAGATGCAATCAACATATTTCTTCCTTCATCAGAGAATTACGCTTTTATTAAATAATTGTTTTCCTTTTTTTTTTTTTTTCAAAGAATCACTGGCTGCCTTTAATTAGTTTTAACCCTAAAGCTTTTAAAAGTGGAATCAGAAGACAAGAATGCAGGGGACTAATTTTCCAACACTTCTCTTGTAAACTAGTATTTTAGATTCTTCTTAAGAGTAAAACACACTCTTCAGCTGTTTACAAGGTAATTTCTGAGTTGTAAAAACTCCGTGTTCCTCCACTGTATTCCCCCATTCGATCTTGGCTGTCACAGTCAGATAGGAAGAAAGCACGAGGATTCTTTTTTCTTGCATCTGCACTGGAACTTTAGCAGCAGACAGTAACTGCTCCAAGTCTGTCAAATACATGTGTAATTGTTTTCCTTTTTGGCAGTGGAGCTATGTTCTTCTTCTTCTTCTTTTTTTTTTTTTTTTTTACTTTTAAAGTTATTTTCTCTTATAATTTTGAATTTTTATTTTCTCTTAGTTTCAGGTATACAGTGCATTGGTTAGACGTTTATATAGTTTATAAAGACAATACAATACTATTAACTATATTCCCTGCTGTACTCTATATCCCTGTGACTATTTTGTAATTACTAATTTGTACTTCTTCATCCTTTCACATTTTTCACCCAGTCCCCCAAACCCCCTCCCCTCTGGCAATCACCAGATTGAGTGGAGCTATATTCTAACTATTTATAATGTGGTGTGATGCTTTCTATATTTCCATGTTTAATTCAATTTATATGAGAAATAATTCAAATATTGGTAGGTAAAAATTTATTTTTCTTTTATCTAAAAACTGATTATACTAGCATACTAATGAAGAAAAGTTGAAAAACAATATAATTTTAAATCGGAATTGATATCATATGTCATATTGTTTTGCTTTCAATGCAACAAGATGTTTGTTGTTTTCAATAAACGCAGACTGCATAGTGACAACAGATATAATAAATGTAGAAAATACAAAGATCCATTTTGTCACCGTGGGTTTCAGATTGTAAACAAATTAAAAGAATGCTGTATTAGGCCCCTGAGAAGGAAATAGTAACACTTTGCTTACTAAGATAAAGAATTTCATTCCTACCCAAAGGAAAAATGAAATTAAAACTCAAATACAATGACAACATTCATACAAAATTGATTATATACTTTATGCCAATATATATAGAAACGTACACAACCCAGGCAGCAGCTGCAAGATTTGGGGGTCAAGAGACTGGAAGGAATTATAGAAATCCATCTAAAATAAAAGTTGTTTTACAGGCTCCCCTACTGAAAGATGACTTAATTTAACAATACAGCAATGGAAAAACAAAACAAAACAAAACAAAGAAAAACAGAGATGGCCCCTGCCCTGAGGAAATTAGAATCTGAAAAATGTAAGCAGAGATTTCTCAGATCTTATTAACAACTATGTCAGAAAATTGAACTAAATCTTCTACCACTGTAAAATATCACTTCCTAAATAGCAGTAGCTGCTGATGTAAGACTTTATAAATTAACCTACATAAAAGGTTTATATATTCTATTAGATACGTTCCTAGTTTTTCATTCCTATGTAATTTAATTGTTTGTTCATATTGTTCATACAGTTTATGTTGCTGTTCAGTTTCCTTCTTATGTTTTAGTTTTTTAATAAAAGAAGTAAATCTTTGCAGATAAAGTTTTAAGTTTTCTTTGTTCCTCACCCTAGTTGTGGCAGGCAGATGCTAGGATGGCCTCCGTGATCCCCACCTCCTGTATATGCCCCTGCCCTTGAGTGTGGGTGGCACCAGTGACTTACTTCCTAACTAATAGAATATGGCAAAGGTGATGGGATGTCACTACTGTGATTATATTATATAATTCCGTCTTGTAGTGGACTCTCTAGACTAGTCCCTCTCTCCCACTGCTGGCTTTGAAGACGCCATGAATCCTACAGCTATATGGAATTAAATGCTGCCAATACCATGTGAGTGTGGAAGGGAATGCTTCCACAATCAAGTCTCCAGTTAAGACTCTCTCATACTCCTTGATTGCAGCTTGTGAGACCTTAGTAGAAGACCCAGTTAAGCTATGTCCAGAGTTCTGACCCACGAAACTGCGAAATAAAAAATGTGTGTTGTTTTAAGGCCCTGTTTGTGGTAATACCGTTATATAGCAATAAATAACTAACACGCCAATCTTATACTATCTCCTCCCACCCCAAATGTAAGCACCATTATAAATTTGGTATACGTCCTTACTCCCATGTTTAAGTAACTTTTCTATGTGTATGTTTACTGATGGATAATGTATGTTATTTGCTTTAGACTAAATGTTTATGCCCCGCCTCACAAATTCATATGTTAAATCCTAACCCCCAATATGTTATTAAGATACGAGGCCTTTGGGAGGTGATTAGGTCATAGGCAGAGCTCTCATGAATGGAATTAGTGCTCCCTGGCCCCTTCTACCCTGTCATACAGCTAGGACATGTCTATGAACCAGGAAGCGGGTTCTCACTAGACACTAAATCTACCGATGCCTTGATCTTGAACTTTCAGTTAAGAACTTGGAGCATCCAAAACTGTGAGAAATAAGTTTATGTTGTTTATAAGTCAGCCAGTCTATAGTATTCTGTTAGAGCAGCCCTAATGGACTAAGACACTGTTGTTTCATGAATTTTTAGATTTACATAAATGGTATCACATTGTACATATTGTGCAACTGGCATTTTTCTCTCAATATTATATTTTTCAGTTACATCTATATGTTCTGTTGTACAAGTACACTACATTTGTTTATCTATTACATTATTGACGAACATTTAATTGGTGTAGATATCGCTTCTCAACTTTGCATTCAATGACCTCAATAGCTAGAAATCAATCACAGTGTATTCACACCAGAGAAATCTGCAAATGCTAGAAAACAGGATTTTTATCACCTCAGAAAGTCAGTGGTCACGTATTTAGCAGTACATCACCACATATCCCAATGTTTGTGAAGAGTTTCTTTAGGCTATAGTCTTAGATGTAGAATTTTTGAATCTTAGGATATTAACATTTAAAATTTTACTATATGTTGTCAAATTGCCCTGGAAAGTGTTTGAACCATTTTATCTTTCCACAAGTGTGAAAGTTCATTTTTTTCCAAATTCTCGCCAACACTTGGTATTTATTTTTGTCAAACTGATGGGTGTAAAGTGGTATCATTGTTTGGTTTTTGTTCTTTAT